GCAGGCTCGTCAACCACTTCAATACTCTCTTCGACTACATCATCAATCACGGGCTCAACCTCGTCGCTTTCACCTGTCACCACATCATCAAACTCATCACCAAGCATAACCGCTACTTCTGGTTTAAATTCTAGGCCATTGTCTTCCTCAACGAGCGCAGCGGACAGTGTTACTGGCACTACCAACACATTCAGAACCACTACCGCTGCGTCGACGTTGACGACTTCCGTGGGTTTTACGACTTCGGCTACAGCTGCCAGAACCAGCTCAAGTACTTTATCTTCGGCGGTTACGAGCACGAGTACGAGCATAGGCACGTCTAGAGCCGCGTCGTCGTCGAATAGTGCTAGTTTTGCCACTAGCTCCTTGCCTGCTTCTTCGACAACTAGCAGTGCAGCCGTCGCGTCAAGCTCAATCCCCACAACCACAAGTCAACTTGACCTTTCCACTCTGACAACAAGTTCAACCCGCTTGACCACCTTGTCCACTTTATCAGGCGCCGCCACGAGCACATCAACCGCGAGCACCTCATCATCCGCGCCATTGAATCCCTTCTTCCCCGCCATCTATCTCGGCTGTGCTCCTGAGCTGTCGAATGGACGCCTCCTCTCCGTCTCGTCCTCTTCAAACTCGGCAATGACAATCACCTCGTGTATTTCGTTCTGCTCGGCGCAAAACTTGCCCCTCGCGGGCCTGGAGTACTCGCGGGAATGCTACTGCGCATATTCCCTCTCGCCTTCCACAGTCTTGAATGCTACGGGATGCAGCATGCCGTGCGCGGGCAATGCGCAGCAGATGTGCGGTGGACCGAGTCGCTTGAGTGTATACAACAATACCTCGCTGTCACCTCCCAGTGTGAAGGCCAGCATAGGGGGCTATACCTACCAAGGATGCTTCACAGATCCTTCCGCCGCGCAACGTACGCTGCAAGGCTACAGCACCTCCAACGGCACCTCCATGACGCAAGAATTCTGCATCTCGGCCTGCCAAGCCAGAGGGTACAAATATGCGGGCGTGGAGTTTGGCAGGGAATGTTATTGCTCGAACCAGCTGAGCATCGTGAGTAACGGAGGCAAGGGTTCGCAGACATCAGAAGGGGATTGTTCCATGCTGTGTGCCGGCGATACCAATGAATTTTGTGGTGGAAGTGCGAGAATCGGGGTCTGGATGAGTCGTCTTTGATGCTTCGTGGTCGGAGGTTTATTCGGCTTCTCTTCTTGGGTGTTTTCCTTTTTAGAGATTCCTCTTCTCAGTCATTCGTCTGACGTGGCGTCTTCCATTCATCCTCCAGCGTGTATAGACGAAGGGGCGTTGGTATACTCTCCACATTTTCTCGCTTTCTCGGAACGCCCATGAAGTCGAAACTTTTCATGAACGCAAAATATTGTCGTTGTAATGGTAAAGAATTGGTTATATTATGCCAACAAGTTTCTTTTCTGTATTGTTAGCCAGATTATTCTCGCAACAAGAGCAAATATCTAAAGAAAGCAGGTGAATTCTCTGGACCGTCGTCAAGATGCTATAAAGTCGGGTACTACTATGAACTGGGCTTCGGATAAGCTAGCTTCTTGTTTCTATATACAAATCCTACTGAGACTACGGATAGTCTTCTCGAAACCAAAATATCGAATTGTCCGACCGGATAACAAACCGGTCCAACCCCCGGAAATGCCTCGCTAGAGGAGTTGAGTTCTGGGATAGATAGTCTGGGTGCCGAAAGGGTCGGCTGGCTCCGAGGTTGATTTGGCTATTTGGCTGCGAGCGAATGACGGCGCTCATTCGACCTTTTCCACCGATTCCTCAACATGGGTGACCGAGGAGCCTGGCTTTTTGTCCATGAAAGCGCCAGTGTTGACTTGAACGTCGTGCAGTGCCTTTTCTTGGATCTCCGTTTGATAGGTCTTGAACTTGAAGACGCCGACTCGCTTCTCGAACAGTTCATCAATCTCCTCCAAGGATCGCCCTTTCAACTGTTAAACAGCTTTCAGTCAGCCCCAAAAAGCCAGAGCCAGAGCCAGCTCTTTTAGAGAAGTTGGTTTTGTTACGTCTGTTACTTACCTCTGGGATACAGAGAAAGTAGAAAATGGCACACACAATGTTGCTCCCGAACCAGATGTATCCGTACTTGGGGCCCTGGGGAGAACATCAGTAAAAAGAGATCCGGATGCTCAGTAGGACTTCCACTGTAACTCACCCAATTCAGATCGGTGGGGTTGATGAAATAGGGCGTGCAGAAACTGGTGAGCCACGCAAAAACGTATTGGATCGAGGTTGCTGATCCCACGGTCCACGCACGGAGACGGGAGCTCACCAGCTCCGTAGCTACAGGATACGTTGCAGCGCCAACGCAGCCTGAATGAAAACATTGTCAGCAATACCACTCCCACATGGGAGATCCGGGCAACCCCAAACCGTTATAGAAGAAACCCCAAATTGCAACCATTGCCACAGTGACTTTGCCGGTAGTGATGGTAAATGGTGAAACACTCTGCGCGATGGCCATTCCCAGGAAGCAGAGACTCGTCACGACGGACCCAAAGATGCAGATGAATCTTCTCCCGACCAGATGGCGCATGGCGTACATGCCGCAGTTGACTCCCACAAACCCGATACAGGTGATCATAATTGAGTACTGGAAAGCTTGTTTGATGCCGGCAATTTGGAAGAAATATGTCTGATAGGCGATAGGGAACCAAGATCCGCTGCCTGCTTGTGTCAAAATGGTACCCCAACACAACAGTGTCCTCCGCAAGTCGGCACCTCCATCCAAAAGTCAGCTGTGAAAGTCATGCCACACAAAATGCCAGCGTCACTCACCGCGAAACATATCCAGGAGTCCCACAGACTTCGCGATCCTTCTTTCTTCCTCGACACCGCGAATAATTTCTGCCCATTCAAGTTCAAAATACTCCGGAGCCAGCGAATCTGCCCGTAGTGTCTCCAAGGACTTTCGGGCCTCACTTTCTTTATTATGATGTAGCAGCCATCGAGGGGTTTCAGGAACGAAGAATAGCCCAATCCCCAGAAGGACTGGCACAATATAAAGACTTCCGATCGGAATCTGATAAGAACCTTTGTCCAGGCGATCCTTTGTATAGTTGTCGACGATTGTACCCAGAATCGCACCGATATTGACCCAATAGGCAAAAAGGGCCACCATAACTCCTCTGAGATGAGCTGGTGCGATTTCGGCGGTGTAGATGTTCGAGAACGTGACGAGGAACCCATTGGAAAATCCGAGGACAATTCGGCCAAGATATATCACCCCCTTATTTGTAGTGCCAATCTGAATGGCCAATCCAACACAGTTCAAGAAGCAGGCCAGCCAAAGGGCTGTCTTGCGGCCGTAGAAGGCACCGAAAGCTCCAGCGAGGATCGATGAGAGAAAAGCTCCGAGCGTCAAGAGTGAGCCGATCAGTTGCTGAAAAGTGCTGTCAATCCCATAGCCTCCCGGGCTGTTTGGATCAGGAAAGCCAAACACTTTCAGAAAGCCGGGCATAGCCTGGAGGGCGCCAATTGCGGCACTGTCGAAGCCTTTACGGTTGGTCAATGTCAGCTTCCTGCTGCTCCCGAACTCAGCGCTCAATTTTGTCAACTAACCATATTGAGTATTGGCGGTTGCAACAATGCAAGCCATGATCAAACACTTGCGGTTGGCCCAAAGGGACGTCACCGGAAGGGTAACTTGGCTGGTATGCGGAACTTCCGACATCTTAATACTGGTCGAGAACAGATGCAAGGTTCGTTCCCCCGTGAGTCAGCTCTGCACCGTATGTAGACGCTCACAGATTATATGTCCCCTTGTTCCCTCCACAACCCTGCAACCAAACCTAGGGATACCTCCACAAACCCGGTGGGAGAGACGCGACACTGGGTCCGAAAACCATGGGTATAGTTGCGATCCTTCCGAGGTCGAGCGTCCACATGTGGAGCTTAGCTTGTCTGATTCAATCGGCCTCTCGGTTATTTCAGTCGCCCTCCATCTCGCAGTTTAGACGAAAAGAGGAATTGGACTCTTTTCCATGCTGTATTCATCCTTAATCGACACGAGATAACTCCGCATGTGGGGAGGATAGACATTCAACCTCGCTCGTGACCTGAATTGACCACTCATGTGCTGGTCTCGAGACACTCCAGAATGTGGGATTCCTTCTCCACGACATATCCAGAGTTAAGCGCATTAAAAAGATGTAGCTGGGGAAGTGGAAGCGGCGATAATTAGTAAGGCTCCCAAGCAATAGCAATAGACTCTCGCCTACCACCTAGACAGGTTACCTTGGCTGATCTAATCCTCAAGGTCCCCATAGCAGGTCAAGGGATGTTCTTGTCTTTCTGATCTTTCACGCAGACTCCTTCCTGTACGCTGAACACAATACCGACAGATCTGCCCCACATGCGGAGGCATAGCAAGGACACGCAGGTTGTAACTGCCGCCTCTCATTTTTTGCGCTGGAGTTATCTGGCACGGCGATTCGCCGCTGCAAGGGAAAAGACGGCAGATTTGATGGTCGTTCGTTAAAGCTGTTGTGGCACAACGACCATGCCAGACAAAGACAAGTGTCAAGGTCTCGTTGACGAATCGGAGAGCATGAAATTTGAAAGGATCTTACCACCAGTCTATTCAACGACGTTCTGATCAATGCTGAACGCTTGCACCGTCCGATAAATTCACTAGGTTGGACGACACCCGCCCGCAATACCGCTCTTCGATGAGCTTGATAGATAAGAGCGGAAAGAAATACCCATACACCAAGAGCCAGGTAAGCATGTCGTAAAAGCTAGCGCGGGAACCTGAGCCGAAGTTTTGATCACTGATCCTTCGTCGAACACATGGCCACATCTCACTGACTTGGACATTTGGCTGACTGGGGCTGCAAGAATTCTCAGCCACACGCTTTAGGCGGTCGAGGTATCCATTATCCTCTGGTACTAGTCTGCGACATGATAGCTTAGCCTGGGATATTTTCATGGCGCTGTGAATCACCCACTCATCTCAGCCATCAAGGTAGATAGTCGAAATTGAATAGGCTTCCGTACTGGTGCAAGCCCATTAGGTTGGGTACATCCATCATCTGAAGGCCGTTGATGGCCTGGTCTGAAATAATAGGTCCAGGAAATTGATTCATGCCACTCCATACGTCTCCCAGATAATTGGTAGAGAAGTCAAATGGCTGTGCTTCAAGGAACTCGGTGGTTGGATCTCCATACGGAGGGGGCATCATCCTGGGCTCGGCGCCGCCGCCTTGGAAAATGAACGGCACGGCGGGCTGTGGAGACAGGCGGCGCTGCACTCTCCAACCCCCGGGCTCCTGATGGACAGGAGCCGAGACCGTGCTGTCTTCAGCTCTCGCGCGTGACATGGTTGATGTATTTGGCACATCCGGTGATAGTGTTGTAGATGGCAGACATTTTGATGTGCTAGCTTCTATTTGTTGGCTTTTTTCGAATGAATGGCTGGTCGATGTTGTCGGATGATCAAACTGTGCTTCAACGTGGAAAATGGGACCCATCTGGCCGACGGGCACCTCTCCTAAGTCTTGACCGTCAAGACCGACGGGCATGAGAGATGAATCGGCTTCGCCAGAATCTGCAACGGCCAGATCAGTGGCCCCCAGCCTTTGGTGTTCGAGGCGTTCTCTAGTCTCTGCAAATTCCGCAGGGAGAAGAGCAATCATCGTCTTTCACAATATTAGCCTTCAGGTGGAAGATGCATAGCAGATCTATTCACCGACCTCTAGAATGGTCTGCGCTCTTTCGGCAGCGTCATTTCCATTCGCAAGAAAAGCAATCGCCTTTCGACCGATTGATATATCCTTGAACGCCAATTCTCTGCCTTCCCAGTCGGCAGAGTCGAGAACAATGAACATAAGTGTCACGACAGACCCGAACACCATATGCAAGACTGTAAAATTTCCGCCTTGGAGAAGATCATTTTTGTACAATTCTCCGCTTAAATTCAAAATAGTGTGACACGCTCGAACACAGGCCGCTGCATAGGGTGAAAAAGTGATGTTGGACGATGATGTACTTTGAGCAAGAGGTTTGGAGAGGTAATGAATGAAAGGTCTGTAGAGGTAGAGCTGAACATGCGCATGGGACATGCAAAGGAGATACTGCGTCCTGAAGCAGAGAAAGTCAGCAAGTTCTCAGTTTCTTTGATTAAGCAATCGAGGAACATACCGTAGTAAAGATCTGGACGTCGAGTGGGATTTTAGACGAAACCCAAAGGGCAGATTTTCTGTCCACCCCTTGAGAGCTCTCTCGATATCCTTGATTTTCTCAATGCTGACTAGATATGTTGTGGCCTGTGATCCCGGAATTTTGCCTACACCTCTTGGTGGGTATATGTCCCGGACGACCTGATCCAGGATCTTGTGAAGGGCGATAATGGTGTTTAGACCCGCTATTGTACACACCTCCTCCGGAGGCTGAGGTGAAATGGATTCTTTTGTGATGTAAGCATCATTTACTTCCACCGGCAAATCTTGGTCGACATTTTCATCGTTTAAGAGCCTAGGCATGCCACATGCCGTTGCAAAATAATTTCCGAGAAGTCTCAACACCCAGAAAATTCGCTTGCTTACTTCTCGCTCGATTAGATCGTCGTATTTGGACTTTGAACGATGGAGACCCATTCGGAGGGCAAGCGTTAGTGCATGTGTTACGTATGAGTAACAGGTCCCAGCACGAGCATTACCTATTGTGAAGAGAATAAGGAAGGTCATGGTTTGGAGGGATATTTCATCTGTACAATCGCCAAGGTCGATAAATGCTCGACTGGCAGCAAAGTATTGTAGCCTGTCAAGATTAGCTTCGGGTGTTGCTCTCGATGATGTAGCAAACCTACCCCTCGGTGATTTCCAGCTCGCGAGAGGACTGCCCGGTGTCTTTCTGGATGAATATACAGCCGAGAGCGAGGACTGCATAGAGGAGAGGAAGAAAACGCAGCTCTTCGGCCGTAGATTCATCGGATCCGAGTGCATATATGTCGTCAAAGCAGCGGTCGAAGCTCGGTCGATGTAGGATGGGGAAAAGGGAATATGATTCCAATGCAGCATCTACTAAAGCTCGAGCCTTTGCTTTTGAGGGAAGGCAGACGGTCACCGCAGGAGAGTAATCACAATCAAACAACTTTGCAACTGGCCTACTTGGAGGGCGTATTCGTGAACGAACATTGTCGCCTGGCCAGTTTTTTATATCTTCCCGCATCCGTTGGATGAACGCCCGGTCTCCGGAATAGCCCTGAAAGCTGTCCTCGGCCTCTTCAGTTGCGTGTCGCGTGAGGACGAATTTCGGCGTGACCCAGGAGATGTCGTTGTCAGGATGCTCTGTGGAACAATCGGAAGGATGATCTATGCTAGAGCGCCCAGGCAATTGACATTCTGACGCGGGAAGTATACCATTCAGATGTGCAGGACGAGTGAGGTTCTTTATGCATGACTCCAAAGCTTCAATCCTAGCCTTCAGAGCCTCGACATGCTCCGCAGTCCGAAGGCACTTTCTTTTTCTGTGACTTGGTTCTGGATAAATACAGTCTGACAATGTTAGGGATTGTGGAGCTGGAATCCTTTGTATCGATTCTGGGCTCACCTTGAAAAGATGTTCCACAGTGCTTGCATGGATTCTTTCTGTCACATTTAATTTTCCTTTCTCGACAGGATCTGCAGGCCCTTGAAATGGGCCGCAGATTTTGTGCTTCGCGCTTCCTCATGTTGAGCTCAGGACGTACGCCATGTGATAGTCTGAAATCGGCTTCTGCTATGGGGAAGTCCATGGTATCTGTGCCATCTCGAGGCCCCCGAGTAATGCTGTTACTCTGACTTTGAGGACTCTGATGTGAAGAGGGCTGCATAGCACAAAGTTGTTGTTCATTGACCATCGCGATCCCCGCCGTGTTCTCTGTGAAAAGGCAGGGATCACACGGAGCGTGTAGTTATACCTATGGGGTATGGTAAAATGCAAGGGAATTTTCTGTCTGCAAGTTGAGGATCAATGTGAGTAGTGCAAGAAAAGAGCATGGAAATATTGATAGAGGGATCATTTGCCAGGTAAAGAATCGAGAAATTGACGTCTTGAGGGAGAAAGAGGATGTAAGTTTCTCGGTGACGGGGAACGGCATGCGCGATTAATTAAGCTCGGAAGTTCCCTCTGGGCGGGCGTAGGGGCCCCAAGGGGGTCCTGCGCGCCTAATTGATAACTCCGCTAACGCCGGGGACAGTTACTTTAGGCTCTGCCCAGGCAGAAAGGGTGCTTGGTTTGGCTCTGTGACTGCAAATCCACCCTCTATTCCGTAGCCACCCAAAAATAATGGCCTTCCAAATTACCTAGAGATGCTACCGTATATCTATCAACATGCCACCCTCAGACAATATTACCCGCCTGAGACAAAACTAACAACTCTGTCAAACTGATTATTCTAATCTTACAGGGAAACGTTCCCTCAAGACCCCTCCATATTGCCGTAGAAGAACTGGTGCTGGAATCAAAGCGAGAGTAATAAACCCCAGCATTGAATTTCCCCACTGCATTCTAGTCAGCACGTATTCATATACAGTCCTCGACAAAAGGTCACTTGGCAGAGCAGAGAGGCTTACTCCATATCCAAGTTGTTGATACAGCGAAGGCCCTGCGAGTGGAAGGAAAGCCCCGAAAAAGGATCGCGTCACCGTCACTGAAGCTATCCCGGAAGCTGCGTACCTGGAGTATGAGTCGATGATGTATGTCTGGATGGACGTGAAGATCCCAATCATTCCAAATCCAAATGGGAGGAGGCCAATGATAGGCACAATCCAGTGTACCTTGGCCTGAATCGACCATCCGTACCAAAAGAAGGATATGGGAACAAAAAATGCATAGAGCAAACACATTGTCAGTCGCATCTCGGGTTGGTAGACTCCGTCATTGGCGTGGGTGAGGCGGATGATGATGCGGTCGCTTGAGAGTCCAAAAAGAGCCTGTCCACAGAGCAACCCGAGTCCCAACCCGATATAAGCGAGACCAGTCAAGTCAGGACTCCAAAGATACGTTCTTTGGAAGACGTCGGTGACTGTCGTGAAGAGCAAGTAGAGGCATCCATATATCAGAGCAACATAGATTGCCAACAGTCCAACGATAGGCGACATAAACAACATCTTTGCTGGCCTTATCAAGCTGCGAACAAGAAGGGTCCCTGCTGAGCGTTGGCCCTGCGTTTTGTCGTAGCAACTTATCAAGTCGCTGCGTTTCAGCTCTTTTGCAAGGCGCCGAGTCTTCTCGCGGATGAGGACAGTGTGGTTAGTTTCGCGATAGAAGATGAGAATAAGACTTGTGCATGCTCCTGCGACGATCAACAGGGTCCAAAAGACCTAGGAGGCATCAAAAAAAATTAGTTCAAGCGCTACACATGAGCCAGATTGAGAGGGGACTCATAGAACGTACCCATCTCCATCCTGGCCCCTGAGCGATGAAGCCTCCACAAATTGGACCCAGAACGGGTCCAAACAGAGGCCCTGCAGTGAAGATAGACATAGCCAGCCCACGCTGTTCCTTCTCGAATAGATCTGCTATCGTACCGCCCCCGATAGTCAAGCAAGCTGACCCACCCATGCCTGTGAGCAACCGAAAGACAATCAAAGACGAGATATTGGGCGCCAGTGCGCAGCCGATCTGCCACACCGTGAAATGTAGTGACGCGATATTCAAGATAATTCTTCGACCATATATCTCACTAAGTGGTGAGAGGAACAGCGGCCCAATCTATCGAAAGCTTAGTCAGAATCCAAGCGGACAAAGGCGTTGTCTTGAGCTGAAAAGATCGGGTGGCTTTACCGCGTAGCCAAGGACATATGCTGAGACAACAAAAGTGCTCAGCAATGTTGAATTGTTGTGAAATTCGACATCGGCGAAGCGAACGGCGGGCGCAAAAACAGAAGACGCAAATGGACTGTGAGTTTGAGAATTTGATCCGGGTTAATGCATGGTACGTCAAGCAGGACTGGGGTGCAGCAACCAACCTAATCAGTGTCATTGAGCTCACGAGGAAAAGGATGGTCCATTTGCGCATTGAGGTATAATTCCGTGGATTTTCTAGATCATCTTGCCCTTCCCATCCGACAATACCCTTGTCAAGGTCTTGCTCTGGAAGGACATCCCTCTTCAATACAAGCACTTTCTGACGAGCTCTCAATTGTTCTGAAGATTTCTTTTGCGACGACTGTTCATCTTGATGCTGCGGCGGCGGTTTGGACTGGCTAGGCTCTTGCGGAGGTATCTCTTCTGGCGGGTTAAATGGCATCTGAGCCTCGACGTGTCGGCTGTTTTGATCTCTGGTGCTAACTGGAGCCATTAACTTAACGCTTAAGGCCTCTTAGCAATACTAATAGACAAGAATACACTGGCCGTCGAACAAGGCTGCTTCAGCATATCAGAACAAATATTTTTACTCCCTTGGCTTGGGCCTTATAAAGCTCTAAAGGAGAGGCAACATCTCCACGAAACATGCTTTGGATATGTGTATCCCGATGAGTACATATGAGATCAGCCCCATATTTAACGCACCGATAGCGGATTACTTTTGTCGTGTACCTCGAGACGAAGCGCCTTCGGCCTTGTAAAGAAGCAGTTCTCCGTGATTTGGGTTAGTGCAAAAGGCTAAAATATGGAGACATCCGTACGCGAGACCAATCAGTCGTTTCAGCCCTGGAAGCAACCCGACATCAAGAAACCCATGAAGCGCTGTACAATACTCGATTGATGGACTGTCGGGTCTCACTGCAAGACGACCGCACTAACCTCGATCACGGTGCGGAATCATGTCGTGGGCCGACGCTTTCCCGGTACGGTTCGTATCTGTGACGATGCTTGCAGGTTGAATCTCTTGGGCATCCACGGTATGGGAGCGATTCGGCTCGAAGCTCCAGGGCCCCAGAATACAGAACAATGTCCGATATCAAAGTCCGTTAGAAAGGCGATGGAGATATCGGAGACAGGTAATGTGAGTGGCTTCTTCGTTCTCACTGTCCGTTTGTACAATCTCAGTTCCAAAGCCACTGCTGCAGAAGCTTTAAAAGAATGGCCGGACGCGCGAGAAAGAATGTCCTTGCTGCAAGTACCCGAGACTCGTGAAGACTAACCAATTCATTCATACTCTACTACTTCCAGCTGGCGTCCTTGGTTCCTGCTCATTCGACAAGATGACATCTCACGGACCGGATACCTGCTGCTACAAGGGATTCAAGCACGAAGGCGAAGCGACGGGTCAAATTAAACAATGGAATGACTTCGAGGTTTATGTCAAATATCCCGAAGATCGGTCTACGGAGAAAGCGATTCTTTTGTACGTTTGTCATGATTTTTCTCCAAGCATCCGCATATCCTTGTACTGATGTGTAGCTAAACCCTCCACACAGCCTGACTGATGTTGTTGGTCATCGATCCATCAACTCTCAGCTGATGGCAGACCAATTTAGCGTCAACGGGTACTTCGTTGTGATGCCCGATCTCTTCTATGGAGATTCAATCGATCTCAACAAAGTAGGCGAGCTCGATATCCCCAAGTGGTTCGGAGGCGGATACAACGCCAAAGGAATCGGGCACGACACGTCCACCGTTGACCCAATTGTCGAGACATGTTTGTCTGAGATGCGAAACAAGTACCATTGCAAAGTACGTGGAAATTTGTGGACTCCTCTCCTTTATCCGTCTCCGGTCTGCAGCAGGAAATCTCTGACTCAAAGGTGACAGAAAATCGGTGCTGTGGGATACTGTTTCGGAGCGAAATACGTCGTCCGCCATTTACGCCCAGATCAAGCAAAAATCGACGTAGGATACGGCGCACATCCAAGCCAGGTCGAAAAGGACGAGCTTCAAGGTATCAAGGGGCCGCTCGCCATCGCCGCGGCGGAGAACGATCACATCTTCCCGGCCGAGAAGCGGCACGAGAGTGAGGAGATCCTAAAATCCCTGGGTCTCCCTTACCAGATAAATCTGTACGGGGGCGTTGCGCACGGGTAAGTCTTTCTTTCCCTTGTAATATCAGTCCCAGGACAGGATTGTCTTCCCCCGGAGCTAAATGGGCCAGATAGCTGACAGTCCACTTTCTTTCCCCTAGCTTCGCCGTGCGTGGAGACTGGAAGGATCGCACACAGTTGTACGCCAAAGAGGCATCTTTCTCACAAGCTTTGCAGTGGTTTGCAGAGCATATGCAGAAATGAGAAAGGTCACTAGAAAGTCTTTCGAGAGACGTCCTTCTTTTACCTCTTTTTTTCTTTTTCTTTTTTCTTTATTACCACCGCCTCCTGAATTTAGCCCCACATATCGTAGTGGCTTCTTTCGAGGAGATGTATATTAGACCATCCATGACCCGTCGATGACTCTCAGCAGGTGGAACCTTCATATGAGACGCGCAAGATTGGAACAGAGGGATAGAAAATTTATCGAAGTCAAAATGCAGAGGAGACGGAGCGGTCGAGCCGCTAGTGGTTTGATGAGTAGAATAAGAGGATGGTGGTAAATTGCGCCACATATTTCCAAAGTTGCACCATATGGTCCCTGCGTGCCCCTATCAGCGGAGCATGGAATGACTGGTCTAGTAGGCATCCGCACGTGATCCTAATCCGTACTCCAGGGATGTCAGATGCGCCAAGACATTATCAACCCTGCCACGCAAGAGGATTTTGCATCGCGATTGTGAGAACGTCAGGCTCGTCTCTCTAAAAGATAGGCATTTCTCATTACGGTGCTGTTTGATTTCATTGACCATAGTGTAGCACAGAGATCTACATTTTGGCCACTTCTAGCTCTGCCGCATCTTCTCATCAGCACATCCTCATGATCACCAACTGCTGGACCGACGCGGTCCTAGCGCCCAGTTAACAGCGACATGATAGAATGAGAAGGACCTGCTCCTCGCCCCACAACCCAGAACCGCACAACGGCGGAGAAACCCAAACCACGCCGGTACGACCAAGCGTTATGCAAACGTAAGTAGGAAATGGTATCTCAATGGTCAAGGCATCTCAATCAACACAAATGAAAATGAGCTTCATCAATCTCATACAACCAACCCACATGAACATCGTACACTGCCTCGACTTCGATTTAGGCCCCAGACAATGGTGACGGGAGAAGAGGGGTGACTCCCTAGCAGAGCCGATATCGATCCTTTTGCCGTCTTCCAGCCTTGCTGACTTTCATATCTTGAGAGCAGCCTTTTCATCAATAATGGCAAACGGATTGGTCTTCTTTGCCACGGGCCGTTTAACGCGGAGGACGGCATCTTGGTCTGACATTCTCCTGCCTAGTGCGCGCTCAACCTTTGCGCCTAGGCTTAGTTTGCTGAGATCATCGGTCTTCTTCTGGGAGGGGACAAAGCGCTGCTGCTGAAGGCGTTTGTTTTCCAGCCTGTCGAGGCCTTGAGTGAGGTGGCGGATCTCTGCCAAGCCGGTTTCGGGGCTGACGGCGATATTTGCAGTGCCAGAGCCAGAAACTAGAGTTTGCGAGTTTGAGATGTTGCTGGTGGTGGTAGCAAAGGACGGAGAGGCCGAGTAGGTTGAGTAGCGTTTGGAAGTGCGCTTGGAGGTGAGCTGGTCGGGGTGTTAAATACGATAAACAATCCAAAGGTTGGAAAGACATGGACTTACACTGGGGGCCATAATAGGCCTTTGAGATTCAAGAGATCGGCGAGACATAGTTGCGGTAAGGAGCTGTTATGGTTGCAAGTCGTTGGGATTCAACCAGCACGGAGTGTCGAGGATGTCAATGTGTGGGAAGAAAAACTTGGTGGTATTCCAACCACAAAAGGGTGCTCTCTTTCCCGCTGGCCCAGACTTTTTGCGAAAGTGGGAGGGGGGCGGAGAGAAACGGCAAGCAATGATTCCAGAACAAAAAGGTCGGGGCAAGCAAGGGTTAATAAGTTTGGGTCTGAACCGATTGAGTCGAAAGCAGCGGTGACGGTGGAGTGGGAGGTGAACAAGCGTGGCCAAAAACCGCAATTCCGCTGGTGATCAAAGTCCACTCCGGACTAGATGTTTTGACGGCCAAATGCTGACGCCAGCGAATTGAGTTCAAATGTTTTCTGACTTAATAACAACCTGAGGGTATTGGTCCTGATTTGATATTCGAGGCTGTAAGAGTGTAGAGAGCCGCGATGAAGTTGGACAGAGGGAGAATCCTGACAGGTGTCGGGTACTGATAACACAAGGTGGTATGACTCAGGTCAGGTGGTCGGTGAACGGGACGCAGGATGAGGTATGGAGAAGTGGTCAGCGGTAATGATAGTGGAGAATCGGATAAGGCAACTTTTCCACTCGTGTGGGTTGGGTCGGATTGGACTGGATTGGACTGAAGGCTTTGGAGTGTCGAGGAAGGATGGAAGATGAAGCAGGGCAGAAGAGCCAGCCGCAGAGAGGAAGAGACAGAGATGCTGGACTTGTTGTGTGCGCGTATGTGAAAGAGCAGGTAAGTGAGAGTCTGGTGGTGGTGCAGGAGCAGACAGAGGGCCAAAAGACCACCAAGGCCGGGGGATCGGGCTCTTCTTTACCTTGTTGCCAGGAAGGTAGTTGTTAGGCCTGCCTGCCCAGGTTTAGAAACAAGCTTGTTTAACCCTTAGTGGGCATTGGGCTACCTACAAGTACTTGTACTTCCAGGGCCCCTCAGTAGCGCCGCTCAGAGGACATTGGTGGTTCCCTCTCTTTTCCTTTTGGAGGCGCAAGACTCCGGAATCTGTGCCCCTGTTCTGTCCCTAGGGCCATTGTCTCTTGGCCAGTCAAAGCCCGCTGTTGCTTTTGGTACCTGTTCCTCTTCGTATCCTCCGGAGTCGCCCCTTCCCTCTTTCTATGCCCCTGCATGACGCCCAGTCAAGCCACTGCTTCAGAATTGAACCCAGAACCCGGAACCTGGTCCACCACGTGGCGATTGACGGACCTGACCTGCATGGCAGCCAGTGACCAGTGGCCACCATCACCAACAACCCCGATACCACAGAATGGGGGACCCAGGGGAAAACAGGTAAATGTTCCATCTTCACAGTCCAGAACCTCAGCCACCTGCAGCCTTTCTATCCTCACACAAGTATCAAGTACAGAGTACTACGTGCCTCGTACACCTTGATCCCATTTAAACAGTCCTCTTCATTATCCGGCGCCAACTGGTTGCGCTCATTAACTTCCGCCTTCAAGCCGTTTGGGCAGATTGCGAAGGCCATCTGCGCGGTCATGTGCCCCTGACGAATATGGCTAACTGCGCACCCAAACCGAGATACGTGGCTAGAGTCCTACAAGTATTTGGCATTTGGCTTGTCCGGCACCATCACCTGTGATCACCAAGGATAATGCCTCCTCATAAGAAAAAGATGCCAAGAGAGAAACCAGAGAGCCCCAGCGCAGTCAGTGTTGGGCGTTTCCAAGGGAAAACCCGCAGCTCCATCGTATCCCTGTGCGATGCTCATCCCTGGGAATCGGATCTCGACTATGCACGCCAGTGTTTCACAACCTCTGGCCCAGAGTCATGTTGCCCAGGTCCAGGACCAGGAGCACGCAGGTCGCCCGCTGTCAGCTTGTCCCTTCAAGTCGCATGCAGCCAGAGACGGGGCTCCTTTCCGAGGATGGCCAGCGTCAAAGTCCGGAATCAATTCTTTACATCATGCCCTGTCAAAACTTAGCAGCCAATCTCGGCTCGCTGTCAAAGATCTGTCCTGACTTGGATTCTTGAATAACCAGCGCTGATTAACTTCATGAGCTGTGTTTGGTTGTTGCACCGTGACACCTTGCTGCAAGCTATGAGAAGATAAGCCACAGGTTTATCCCACTGGTATTTCCGTAGCACTTTCCTCACAAGGGGGCACGTGGACATTGACAACTGCGGACTCCAGCGCGAGCGAAGCATAAGGAACGAAATTGAACTCAGTCTGCGACAGGCCAAATTACTCCAACGGGTCGAGAATCCTACCCGTGGAACAAAGCGGCATCCGAGCGGGCTCATCACAGACCCAGATCATCATCCATATCGGCACACGAGTATGATATTATCTCATCGCCGTCGAACCTGAGTAAGTGGCTCCCTCGTCGCCCTGTCAGCATTATCGTCCATCATCCATCAATCATGCCAACCAAAGTAATGCCAGCCCTGTGTCCACCATTCATTAACACTTCCAGTCGCACCAAAATGCTTTGCCAGCCAAAATGCTAATCCACCAACAACGCCGAAACTTCCCACAATCTGTAAAGCAATCCATCCCCTCGTGCGCATGCTATCCCGCCATCTTAACAGTCCCAGAGGATCATGCATTTGATAGCTCGGCAAGACGTCCACTCCGTATGCCGTGCTGCCTTTGCCGCCCTTTCTTACTAGCGCCTGTGCGCTATCGCCCTGCAGTAGGGGCACGATCGTGCCATCGCGGACTTCCTCTCCCATTCTCTCCACAAGCCAGACCGCTCTCTCCCCCCGTGCAAGTCGCTCATAGCGCTCCCTCTCCCTCTGCAGACTCAACTGCAATTCGCTTGCCCACTTACTCAGCCGTATCTGCGCCAGTCTTTCCTCCCGTTGTGTGTGGTCGGCGACTTTGGCCAGTGCCCAAGAGTTCGATGTGTTGAGTGAGACCTCTGATCCAATAGGGATCAAAACACCCGAGTTGGAAGTGCTCAGTGGTGTCTGTAATGGAGAGGTGAGTGTCGAATTGCGCATTGAGGGATTATACGACTGTGACCGAAGAGAGGGTGATGGTACAGAGGTTAGTCTTGGATGTGTTGAGTGCCAAGCTACGAGTTTCCTCGCTGCGGTATGGCGCAGATAAGCGACCGTCTCAGGCTCGAATATTGATTCTACGAGCAGGCTGAGTTCAGAGGGAAGGAGCGGTTGAATGTATTCGGGCGACATGAGGAGGGAGGCATCCATCGTGTCGAGGTCGGGACCATTAGTTGAGGTCACCGTATAGGGAGCTGTTGCTGGTGCTGGCGCTGTGGGTTGGGTGGGCTCTAATGTCGATGGGACTAACGCCGCCGGCGAAGATAGGGATGTTGGGAGTCGAGGTAAGCTGGACACGCTAGGATCCAGACACTGTTTGATATATTGCTGATCTTCGATAGTGAGAAGATCCGACTTCGCAATAAGAGGAATGATGTTGCATAGTTCGGACAACTGGCGAATACAGTCGCAGTCGTCTTGTACGGTATCTAAATCACCAAGATCAATCACCACTCATCTCCGAAAGCACCATCTCTGAACCCAGCAAAGCACTGACTTACCCTTTGAGATCAAATACAATATCACGTCGACCTGACTGGCACCCCTCCCACTCAATAACCCCGAGAACTCGCTCGCGAGCTGATCAACACTCATCATGGCGTTCACCAGTTGTTGTTCTGCATAGTGAATAAGCATCTCCAACTTGACTGAATCAGCAGTGTCCACAAAGCAGATATTCCTCTCAAGCACAGAGTCACCCATAGACTTGCGCCGGCGCAGGATGCGAGACTCCTCAATTGTGGACCACCATTCGGGATACGGCTTTGTAGAGGCGTAGACTTCGTTGATTGGCTCCGAAATACTAGTAGAAGTTCGATAAGAAGTGTTGAGCGGATCGACATGGACAATATCTTCACAGAGTTGGACGATGGACTTTATTAGGGAGGTCTTTCCCACGCCTGTATTCCATGGCACAGTCAGTAACCTGGCGTCGCTGCACTTGTTCTATGTCTCTTCGTTGCTTAGAATGATAAGAACAAAACCTACCTTTCCGACCAGCAACCATAATCTTGAACCTCCCTAACCTCTTCCCTCTCTGCGTAAAAGGCCGTCTAGACGGCATCTTGATACTTGGCATGATAAGTTCAGGGTGGCTGTCCTGGACTCCTCCTCCTAGTGACGACGACATCTCCGGACCACCGACTCGCTCAGCCCCAGTCTCATTCTCGTCTTCGTCACCACTGGATAGTATCGCCTGACTGCTCGTCTCATCCGCATTTGTCAGCAGCTCATCGTCAGAATTCGCGGAGGACTTCGTCTGTAACGATCTTCGTGAGGCAAGAGATTTCGGACTGCCAGGTAGAGAAATGTCTCGTGAAGGTAACGGCGAGGGGCTGACGACTCTCTCGAGGACAGGCTGAGGGGAACTGGCATTGGTGTCGGCGTTCGCGCTGGGCGAGCCCCGTCGGAAGCGTTCACAGTTCGTCCCGGGCTTGATGGTCGAACGACGTCGGCTCCCGCTTCTTCCTTGTACTGGGGCTTCAGCTTGTCGGGGTGTGATGTGCTTGGTTGATGACCGGTCGCGGTCGGCTTCTTCAATGGTATCCTGCAGACTGCTCAAGGGCGACACAGACAGCGGCGCTCCAGCACCCTTGTCGGACTGGTGCGGCTTGACGGAGGCATCAGGATCCCGAGATAGGAAGAAAGTAGTGGCAGGATTGCTATGGCGTTCACGGTCACCAACTAACGAAGGAGAATGCGAGTCGGCATTGGACGGCTTGCGAGGACGTGGTGAGTCTGCTGTACTGTTATCAAGGCCGATTCCTGGTCTCATTGTGCAGTCATGAAGGGAATTGGCAAGAGCAGGCGATATTATAGTGGACAAGGAGGGGGGGTTAAAGAGTTTTTGATGTTTTCTAGACTGACCGACAGGACTGGCAGCTGACAGCGAAGCAAGATACAAGTCAAACAGGTCACCGATGTCGCGGCCTGAAGTTACTCCTCAGCCTATCCTGCCTATCCTAGATTACCCCACGGCAAGCCAGGCAATACTACCAAACAACACGCGGGGCAGAGTCTCTTATCGCTGCCTTAATGCCTCAGCTGATTGTACTTGTTCCTCCCCCTTCACCCTTGAAGACATTGAATGGCACTCTTTGAGTGATTCATCAGCATTGACCCTGTTCTCGATATTACAAAGTATTGCAACTTTTGAGCCAACCCACAATCACCATTAGGTAGGATATTTCTCATTCACAATGAGGACTACTGTACAATTCCATGCCCACGCCGGCGCCATCCTATCTCTAGGGAATCTTGGGGTCCCGGATAAAATGTTTCCCCTTCGTACACAGACAAATACATGACCTCGCTCGAAAAGACGCGCTTGCCCTCTGACCATGCATGGCCCTAAGCAAGGCCAACCTGAAGCTGTTGCTGCCTTGCTCGCTAGAGTTGTGAAAGGTGAGGGGAATCCCGCTTTCTGTTTCGTCCTGACCAATTCTGAGGCTGGCTATACGAACAACACTGCTGGATCGTGAAAATATGTGTAATGTAATGGAAAGTACTTTTTCCAAATACGCCGTTGCCAGGAAAATCGTTGAAAATCAATCCCATCACTTTTTCATCGCTCCGCTTGAACCCTGGAGAATGCAAGAAGCAAGTGACGAAAGATTCTTTCAGTGACCGATGCCGTGTTTCAGCATCGGGGCCCTGAGGAAACTTTAGGCAGTCTGGCCTTGACCACGTCCTTTGGGAGTGACAGTGCCAGTACCAGGCTTTCCACCTCGTTGAAATCCACCACCACGTCCGGCGTCCTTGGGAAAGTTGGTCTGGCTTCCGGATCGACCGCCCTGCATGCCACCCCGGCCACGGTTGGGAGGTCCTCCACCGCGGTTGAAGTTGGCATTGCTGCCGCCATATGCATTGGGACGGGGACGACGCTCTTCGACATATATCTGTTCAGTACCGATAGTGTGAGGATTGGCAGCGACGGCAGCAGCGTAACCGGCAGGATCAGCAAACTCGACAAAGGCACAGTTCTATATTCATTAGTGAAGCCCAAGAAATCAACAATGCTTGGTGACCTACCCTAGGTCGTGACACGTCGAAATATTTGAGATCGCCATACTTCTCGAGAACGTCTCTGAGGATCCTAGCATCAACTTTGTCGTTCACGTTCTTAATGTACGCCATTGTGATCCCCTCCGAGACAACTCTGTTCGGTGGCCGACTACTCTTCTTGCTGTGATCTGCAGTCTGCCAGCCATTGCTCTGTGAGGTCGGGGTGCTGGAAGTGGTGTTCGCGGTTCCTGGCACAGGTTCTGCCGGGGGCTTGGGAGCTTGTGCAGGTTGTGAAGGTCGGGGAGCTTTTGGTTGTGGCGGAGGAGTCAAAGGCAGGGCGGGAACAGCTGGCTTCTGCACACCACCTCCCAACATGCTGGCCCAGGTCTTCTTCGCAGGGGGTGCTTCAGGAGTTGGAGCGGGTGCAGCAGCCTCGGGGACGGGTTCAGCAGCAGCAACGGCTTCGGGTTCAGAAGGCTGCTCGGTTGCGACAGGTTCAGTGATTTCTTGGGTGACAGCGCCCTCTGTCGCAGATGAGAGCTCTGGAACTTCGGCAGCTTCTTCAGCGGGAGCCGGAACAACATCGCCATTGACCTCGGCTGGTTCTTCTTCTTGTGCTGCTTCCACCTTTTCTTCCTCAAGTTTCTCGTCGACCTTCTCAACAGCGTCCTCAGTGGCAACGACGTCCTCATGATGAGACTGAGAATCTGTCACACCTCCGGCAGGGGTGGGTGGCTCTTCCGCAGGGACTTCTGCCTGAGGTTGTTCATCTTCAACAATCTCATCCTCATCATCACTGAGGTAGCGGAAGATATCGTTTAGGACGAAATAGCCGTTGGGTTGTTCAGCGAGGACGAAAGTCTGTACAAACTTGTGATGCGGCTCTGATTTGTTGGACATCTCGCCAATGACCTGGACCACAATGTTGTTGTACGAGGCCTGAGAGTCGACATTGAGGACGCGCACTTTGCAGTCTTGGAGATCAAGGGCTTTAATCTTCTCGCTGATTGCCTGCGTTTTCCCTTTTGTCAGCCATCTCGATAGCCTTCAGGCGACAAGGTGACAACATACCTTTGTCCCGACAGCAGGAACAACTTTCTCAGCCTCGACACCCGTGACTAGCTGTGACTTCTTGGAGTAGAACAGGTGGATCTTTTCTGGGCTCTTGGACAGAGTTGTATAATATTGCTCCACAAAGTACCAGCCAATCTCTTGCGGGTCTGCCTTCTGCTGAGTGGTGGTGGAGGTGGTAGTACTTTGAGACGCGGAGGGAGCGTGAGTTGGCGCAGAGGGAGTGGAGGCGGCAAGTTCAGCAGGCTGGCCATATTGGTTTGCCCCGTACAAGCCGTTAACAGGTGCGGTTTCGGTCGCCATGGTAAGATATCAGCGTGAGAGCAGCCTAACGCGGTTCAACGTCGTCTTTTAAACTGAATGCGAGTCGCGTCGATAATCGAAGTAACCGGCTAGAAGACTCTGGATTTGATCGCGCGATGGGCAATAAGAAGATTCAACCAGCAGCGCGGTGAATCAAAGGTGACAGATCTCGCAGACTCTTAGTTGATAATCTAGCACGCAGGCAAACAGACGAGTGATTCCTCCAAGGGGTGGAAAAGCGGAGAATGAAGCACAAGAGACGCGCAGCAGGAAGAGGATGTTGGAAAATGAAATTATGAAAGGCTAGGGTATGTGATGGTCGATTGTGGGATGTTTGGTGGATGAATCAGAGAGGACAATTGCTGGTGCTGGTGCAGAAATCGCCCTTCCAAGGGTAGTATGAAAAATATAAAAAGCGGAGGAGGCAAGTTGGAGGCACTTGCAGCCTTGGCGGATTGCGATCGCTTCTTACCCTCTCCACCAAACTTGTGCCGCTTTGGCCGCTTTAATTGTGAATGCGGGCAAACATGCTTTCGCCGTCGATTGAATCTTGCTCTACTTTTGATGATTGGTTAGCAAACTGAAGTGCGTTTGCTGCGTCCTGACATGCATTATACAATACCAGCAAACTAGGTATCTCACGCTTCACAGCCTCTGTGTTTCAGCCTCCCTTTTGCTTTGTGGTTCGGAGTGACGCTCACCTAAGAGACATCCGACTGTCTGCCTCTCCAGGTGCATCTTTGTTCAGATTTCGACTCAATCCAGACCGTCCACGGCAGACTTCTGGCATGTCTCCAAGAAGGAACGAGTATTCAGGTATGTGTTCTAGCGATATAAATAACCTGCGACTACGGCAGCAAAGAGGTTAGCGAGCCCATACCACCTCTACCGCATACATCGGTAAGAGCAATGGTTTGGCTTGAATGTTTGGACCAGCATGTCTCCTTGTGTTCGCAGGTGATAGAAACTTTTCTATCTATTACTGGTACAACAGAGAAAAAAACAAATGACTGGGACCGCAGCACCGCTATCTTTATGTTCGAATGGAATATTGACCTTGGTGACCGGTTAATGGATGATGGTGTTAGGAGGAGCGCAGCTGGAAGAAGGATTCCTTTTTCCAACGAGCACCAACTCCATATGAATTCAGCAGCTTCTTTCCGACCCAGCCTTGCAGGGAACGACGCTAGCCATCCTTCAAACACAGCGCTTCGGCTCATTAAAGAGTTGCAGCTTCGCTACGAGTACTTTGTACAGGGATCTGAGTACAGTGTCGATTTTTCCAACCTCAACTGTCCAGAATGAACGGCGTTTCGAATACCTCATGCTCCTCTATGACTACCAGTTGGCGCCGAATGCGCAAAAGGCTCGGAATCTTTTGTCAATGTGTCCCATCACATTCTAGGTTTGCGAGCAGCCATTTGTGATGCCGCGTCCTGTCCTTGCCGAACTGGACATCGCATACAGACACACCCTGTCAATGCCGTAGGCCGCGATCTCTATGCTGATAACCGCATCTTCCTGGAAGCAATTCAAAGCGTCTTCTGGGACAAAGCAGCGGCTCTTGCCCAAAGTCCGGCCGACCATGCATACGAATCTTTCAGATACAGTAGCTTTTGGGTCTGCCTTCCACTTGTGCCTGTCAAGCTGATGAGCACAGAATTTCTGAAAGACAGGGAAGAACTATTCTCGATCTTTAACCGCCCAGACTTTGAGCAACTACGGCCCAGTGCACCGCCCGAGCTGCGTCAGATGTTGGGCGACGTGAGAACGATTATCTGACGCCTGGCCCATGGATTGGGGAAGATAAATGCTCCATCGCCGATATCCATGCAAGTTGGATGATCAAAATGGTGCTGCAGACAATGGACGTGCAGAGTGAACCAACCTACTCGGAGAAAGACATTCTGAAGGTTCATGCCCGGATCAATAGACTTCCCCTTCACACCGCTGAAAAAAGATGCCGAAAAGATCAGTGCAGGAGATACGAAGCAAAAGATCTCAAGCTGGGACTATGCAGCGAAAAACATCGGGGTTGAGCATTCGGATCCCACAGCCTGCAAACAGGAACGCATGTCTCCGTTAGTACAACCGACGAGTAAGTCACCCGTTCAGCTGCCTAAAATTCACAGGGTTGACCGCCCTGCAGTGCCAAACCCGGCAGACCACAAGGGGGTAAACTCGTAGGCCTCAGCAGACGAGAGATCGTCATCGAGCTGGGGAATGGCCTTTGCATGTATTTCCCTCGGATTGGCTTTGTGTTGAGGAGGATATGAAGAGAGATTCAAGCTGCAGTACATGCATGAGAGGCTCATGGCAGAGCGTACTGTGCTGTGGCTTTCTGCCATTTCTGGGTCTGGACGGAGTTTCTCTGAAGTCAGTTCTTGGACCAACATCAGAGTGATGCACCCTGCCCGCCAGTATTTCTAGATTCTTTCTGGCTTCGGACTACTCGTGCAATATGCTTGTTGAGAAGTTCAGTAAAATCCAGGACTCCGTGGAACGGCAAGGTTGGGCGATGGTGGTGATAGATCGACCGCCAGAGCTTTGTCCTGAATGTCGTTGACTGGGTTGGCATCTCGTTCCTCCTTGGCCTGGCGTTCCTTTACTTCGCGGCTCTTTTTCTTGCTGCTTTGCCATACTCTATCCTCCCTTTGCAATTCCTCCAACACTTCTTCCCATTCCCGCTCTTGTTTTTCATCTCCAGTGCCCAGGATCTTCTCTACATCCACTTCTTCGCCGTTCTGGAGCCTTGTAACAACCTCTCTCAGCTTTTCTATCTTGATATCTGCTCTGCGAGAGAAAGACATGAATTCGTTCTTGACGCCCATGATTCGAATGGCTTGAGAGCCGATCAGAATATAGATCCAAATGAAGTATGTTGCCGGGTTCGTGGGTTTCGTTTGCACAGTTCTCTCGAGACTCAGGGGCCTGTTCCGAAATGCTTTGGGAATGATCGAGTCCCATATAGAAGTTTGAGCTATGCGAGGGAGACTGCGTTGTTGCGAGGGTGCATGTCGGGATTGGTGCAGCCAGCGTAGCCGGGACTGACACGGGCTAAGGACATTCGTTCTGAGCAGACGTGTCTGGGCTATGCCGCAGGATAGTAGGGGTTTCATGCCGCTCATTGATGATCAAGAAACAACGGTATGCATGGTGTCGAGGCGTGGATTGTCTTGAGGTCCCATGCTTTGCCAATCGCTGAACTTTCATGTGCTCGTGGAATCCCGCTGCGCCAAGCTGGTGGCACAAACTCGGAATTGCAAGAACTTAACGCCGGGTCTAAGCCGCAAGTCCCGTGTTTATTTCATGACCGAATACGTCCATCAGCTACACGCTTCCGCCATCAATGGTATACATCAGACATAATCACGTCCATATAATGGCCGTACCGGTAGAATAGTGCAGTATGCACCTCCACATCATCATACCTTTACAATGACGGCTTTTCAGGATGTCGTTGCCTCTGCGCCCATCGATGTGGTTCGGGCTCACCTCAACCTAGCGGCGCCAACAACACGAACTCTGAGATTTTTGCGAGCTATTCTTGGCCTGGGTTCCTTCGACGAGTGTGAATCTAAGCTCACCCGGTCTTCGGCTAATAAGACCGCACAAATGAAAGGTTCTAGCATAAGTCGACCCCCAATCAGGCCCGCGACCAAAAACAGGCAAAAGCCAGGTGCCGCAGTACAAATTCATGGAAGTAATGACGACCAGTTACCACGCCTATCGCAGGCCGAGCGGCGAAAGATTGCCACCGAAACATTCAACTCTACCTTGAAGTGCCTTGGAGAGGCTGCCAAAGCTCTAAGAGATACTCCAACAACAAGCACGATACCGTCCTTTGCGCCTTCTGACGGCCCACTCCAAGCACGGTCACCGAACAGAGAACGAAAAATACCTCCCACCAACTCCAAGAAAAGCGTCCACTCCAATACGCCGCTGGATTGGGGTCTGGTAGCAGATATTTCTCACTCTTCATTGCAGTTTTTGCGGAAGTGTAATTCCAATGATGTGACATCCTGCGCCAACAATGATTTGGGCCTGGAGAATGCTGCACTGATTTTGCTAGACAGAAGCATCTCCCTGAATCTCTCAGCCCAAGCACAACGTCAACTTTGCGACATCCACGAAAGTTACTGGGCAGACCAAGTCAAAAAGAGTCCTGCTTCACGCGCAAGCATGGCAAGGCTCCTGCTAGGTCGGCCAGATGCAGCAGATGGAAGCCAAAGGTTCAGATTCACAGCATCATTGCAAAGCCAAGCTCTCCGTCTTGCTCTCCTGATTGGGGCAAAATGTATCAACTCGGAGCTCCTGATATCGCTTCAGCAGGAGACCGTTGGAAGTCCAGCTTGGGTTACGCTAAGGGGACTTGAAAAACAACACCTGAGATCCGACCAGTCTGGCCAGCAGCTTCGCACTATATCACTTGCATTGTCTAAGTTGTATGCGCTTTCCACAAGCTCAAAAGCAGAGAGTCCATCACCACAGGATCTTTTCAAACTCTTTTGCTTGTCGTTACGCATCAAGTTCGAATCTTGGGTCCAATCTGGCCACCGGGTGGAGCCGGCAACAGAAGTGTGGCGACCGCTGCATAAAGCGATCAAGCAGCTAATTGCGACTTCGAATGATGTTAAGGCGTCAACCACTTGCATCCTTCAAGCACTTGTTTCATTTCAGAAACTTATGCACGCAGTAAAATGCGAATTTCTCGTTCCCTCAGAGTTGATTGAGACTTTGTTACACATCATCCGGGATCCAGATGAGTATCCTTCGCTTATTGCTCTGGTGGAAGAGCGGTTTCAAAAAATCAAGGATGTTACGCATCTGATACTGCGGTGCCAAATCGCCGTAGCACGGTTGAGATCCTCAAATAGATCGCCAAAGACGTTGGAGTCGTTGAAAGGCGTGGAAAATGCTCTCGGGGAGGCAAGAGAACTCTCTGCAGGAGAGCTTGACAGGTTCCTACTGCACCTCGCCCAATTACGCAAGGCAGCTGCCGAGCTGATCTTGCTTGCCAAAGCACGACCTATTAGCGAAGACAGCGTTTCTCTAGACTTTCAAACGGCTCTTATCCGCTTGACCTATTCTTCCTTCAACTTTCTACGTCGCCACACTCGCTCGATTCTCATACCTACTTCAGGAAATTCGGGTACCGAGAGCCACAAGGCCTTCCTAATTACGCTCATTAAGACGATTGACGCCGTCTTATGCACCGAACACTGTGCTATCACGCGAAATGCAGACCTCGTGGCGACGGCGTTACAGACCCTAAAAGATTGCTCTGCAGAAGTCCAGTTTCTCCGAGCCGAGTGCGCTGTTTCAATTTCTCAGGGCCTAATGGAGACGCCATTAAATCAGCTTGGAGTACGGATATCCCAGTTGCTCTGGTCACGGTACTTGGAAGCCGTTGAAGAGAACAAATCCCCCTTGGAGCAGGCCAACATTCTAGACTTGTCGCTCACAGGTCTGTTAGACTTGCCACTAAGCAATCAAAAGGCGGCGCATATTGCACTCAAGTATGAAAAACTCGCAGCCTGTTACCTAGAAGTGCATGACTTTCAAATGGCCCGGACCGCCTTGCGAAACGCTATTGAAGCCAACATAAGGGAAGGCATCCTCGGTGATGTTACACAGTCGCTTCTATCTGCTTCATCTCATTTTGCATGGTCAAAATCGGAGCCGAATTGCAAGGCTTTTGGGAGAGTCCTTGTTACATACACTAAAATGGTCCTTGATCATGCCTCGATGGTGGAAAACGACGATAGCTTCTATGACGATCCATCACTGTCAGCCTTTCATCGTGCAGCGCTGCTCGAGAAACAGATAATAGCCATATTTGAACTAGGCTTAGATGACCACCGACTTCGTCTATGTGCAACAATGGTAAGGATTTTTCTCCAACTCCTGGAGCAGCCGCAATACCAAGTGTATATCCTGAAGTTCATCAATCAGCTATTGCAGTTGGCCTTGAAGAAGAGGATGCCAGCTTCGACCTTTGTCATTGACGACTCTTTCATCCAACTCCTACTCACGACTGGCCTTGCGGAAAAGGAATGTGTCTTCCTGCGGAAATATGAGCCAGAACTTCGTTCGCTTCTCTGCCTCCAATATGGGCTTTTTACTGGACTGCTTACCGACCAAGATTTGTCGCATGTGGTAGGACAGCTGTGTGAAATCATTCGGACCTGCAGGACCGAGGAAGAGACACGTGTGATCTTTATTGACGTAGGAGCCCATATCGCTCCACTTCTGCTCTCGGTTGAATATGCGGCAATTCTGGGAAACCACGAAACTGGTCTGGTCGCACTCGAAGCTTTGCAACATTTAGTGGAACTGGGAGTTCACGTTCAAGAGCTGTCGCAAAAGAGGATTCTCCTACGCAAAGGCCAATTTCACGACTTATTGAAGGATCTTCAGTCTGCCCAGAAGGCTTTCGTCATGGCCGAAAAGGCAAATGAAGGCGTGGGTGATCCACTGTTCGAAGCAGAATTTGCACTCGCCTACTCGGAACACCATCTGCATGCAAATAATCTTGATGAGGGCACCAAGTGGCTAGAACATGCCCGAAATGCATGGCAGGCCTGGAACAGGGCAGAAAAAGGATCGTCGATCAAGGCCAAGTTGAAAGAACAGAGCATTATGTGCAGAGCCGCTCATTTAGCCTCCCGGCTGGCTTATGAGCGAAGTCAGCTTCTGAACGCCATCGTTCTTGCACGGCAGTCCGCCAAAATCTCTGCCTCTATTTGGTGTTCAGTCGACCGGGTCTGTACTTCCGCAACTCCCTCGCAGCTGGATTGTTCACTCGATGCAGAACTGCACAGTCTGTCCATCAACTTTTCCAAGCTTGATATGGACTCCGCTCCGTTGACACGAGTGACGCCGAGCACAGTCATGCTTGGGCCTGAGATCTCGTTGTGTTGCGCAGTGTTCAGCCATATGGCATTTCTGAACGCTCATTGCGGCATGTATCAAGATGCCACTATGTTTTATGAGCAGGTTCTGAAAATTGCCAAGAAGTCCAAGCACCTGATTCATGCTGCGATTGCATTGAGCGACCTCAGTCTTCTGCACGCCCGAGCTGGCCAACTCGATAAGGCTAAAACTAAACTTCAAGAGCTGTCGCATATCGCCCAGGACCGCAATGCAAATTGGATACGGCTTCTCGTATCCCTCAATCAAGCCGAGACGTATCTAATTCTCGGGGACGATTCAGCCGCTTCTCGGTGCTTGAGTGAGGCCAAGCAGCTGCAGGTTGAGATAGATTTACAGTCTATCAAACAGGGCGTGAGCGATATCCAGAAAGCTAAAACCACCAACGCTTCAAGAAAGCCTTCAGCAAGAAAACGCGCCGTCAAGGGTCAGAAAGGGAATAGCCTAGTCAACTGTCCCTCAACGGAGGCTTCGTCCATCTCGATGCCTTCCCTGGAGCTGAACGGAATCAAGGCGAGAGTTTCAATTCTGGAAAATAGACTTCGGACGTTCCATGGTTGCGCAGATGCAAACGATTCCTCAGATGCTTGCTTACCATGCGACGGAGATGACGATGGCCGCAAGTCAGTATCAATAGCACTCAATTTGGTCCACTCTGCGCTCGAGATTTTCTCGGACGATACCGTACATAATGTGCTCGCAGAAACAGCCGTCGCCCTTCCGGTAAGATACCGATCAGCGAGGAAAAGCGGCAGGGTTTCATTTGTACAAGCTGCAGGCCCTCGAATCACAAATGAAAAGAACCGAGACTCAAAGAAGAGGACGAGGCAAAAGCAAGCGGAAGAGATAGACAAGGACGGGACGGCATTGCTGCTTCAAGCCTACGACATCCTTCGTGAGGTGAGCAACAAAGAGCAAAACCAAGTTCCTTCCGACATTGTTCACACGTGCCATAAACTCTTGGGCCAGATCAGTCTGCTCTCATCGGCCTTGAACCAACCATTGGTCAGCTGTTCCTCGAACATCGTGTTGGACATAACGAGCCCACTTGATCTCGCCCTTACGCGCGAACGTTTCGTGACTTTGGGCGAGCTCAGTGCGGCCAAGAGGACTAGCATGGATGAGTGGCCAAGTACACAGAGTGTCGATGAGAATGGCATATGTCTAAGCTCAGATATGCTGTTGAATCACTACA